GAAGGTCCCTTCCCTGAAGCAGACGGGTCTTCTGAAACATAAAGACTGCATAAAAATGGGGCCACCTTCCTCAGAGTGAAGGCACCTTTGGAAAATGGGAGCCGTTGAATAAGGAGCTTATCCGGGTGATCCCGCCTGTAAAATGGAGACATTTTCTTTAAAACGGAGTCTCTTTGATAAAAAGAAGGTCCCTTCAGTAAAGGGAAGAAGTTTCTAGAAAATGGAGGCACTCTCCTCAAAGTGGAAGGGCATTCTGCAAGGTGAGAAAGAGTTCTATGAAGACCCTGGTGTAGCCTGGCCAGTGTGGCTCGGTGGTTGAGCATCCACCCATGAACTAGGTCACAGTTTGATTCTCAGTCAGGGCACATGCCCGAGCTGCGGGCTCGACCCCCAGTTGCGGGCTCGACCCCCAGTAGGGGGCGTGCAGGAGGCAGACAATGGATGATGTTTCTCTCTCATTGATGTGTTTATCCCTCTCCCTTCCTCTCTCTAAAAAATCAATAAAAACGTATTTTAAAAAAGACCCTTGTGTAAAATGGATGCCCTGTCTAAAATGAAAGACTCTTTGACAAAGTAGAAGACTCTTCTGTAAAAAGAGGAACTTTCTTAGCAAAGTGAGACACCTTCTTAAAGTGAAGGATGTTTCTGTAAAGTGTGGACCCTTGTGTAAAGTGAGGACATCTCTGTCAAATGGGACAGTGTAGGGCAATAGGGAATGGTGAGGACTGGGGTAAACTGGACAGCACATGCCTCTCCTAAAATGGGAACCGCAGCTCCTCCTCCCATCCATTTAATTGTTGCATTGAATTAATGGGGCCCTGTATTTATTTTCAGATCTTCCAATATTTTGAGAGAATCAGAAATCCAGACTTTTATGTGAAATACCCCAATTTTAAAAACAGTGACTAGGCCAAATTCCACTTGTGAGTCAAATTCCACTTGTGGGCCACCACTTTGCAAGACCTCAGTTAGATGGTCCTTAAAGCCCCTTCCATTTCTGCTGTTTATCTCCTGCTCTATCTTATGTGTTGTGGCTCTTGGGTGGTAGCCTTGGAGGTCCCCTCTTCCAGCCACTGGAAGGCTCAGTCTCCTTTGGACCCGAGAAGGCTCAGAGTGCTGGCTCATGCAATACCTGTCAGCAGTTCCCTGAACTAGAATCTGCCTTTTGTTCTGTCTGGTCCAGTTCATGTTCTGCCCTGTGCAGGACACTGGGAGAAGAGAGCAGGAGGTACTTTCAGAACTCTCTGGAACTGAAGGTGCTCGCTTTTTAGTGGAGGATATAAGGTATGGGGATGCAACTGTTCGATGCGCACCTACTCTGGGCCAGGCATTGTGTTGACGCTTTCCTGTGTGGCACCCCCCTAACAAGCCCATTGGCTCCATGTTACAGATGAGGAAACCAAGGCACAGAGAAGCAAAAGAACCTGCCTGAGGACACACAGCTAGAAGTGGTTGAGCTGGGACATGATCCCAAGTGTGCTTATGTCCAGAGCCACAGAGCACACCCTCAGGCAATGTCTGCTGAGTTGGGAAAGAAATCACACTTGGGGGGGGCGGTGGCGGGGGGGGGGGGGCGCCTTTG